CCTTCCTTGTTACCTAACAACACATAGATATTACAACTCGTTACGTCAAACGAACGTTGTGTGGGAGGATGTTACGTGGGAGGATGTTACGTGGGAGGATGTTATGTGGGAGGATGTTACGTGGGAGGATGTTACGTGGGAGGATGTTATGTGGGAGGATGTTACGTGGGAGGATGTTACGTGGGAGGATGTTACGTGGGAGGATGTTATGTGGGAGGATGTTACGTGGGAGGATGTTATGTGGGAGGATGTTGTGTGGGAGGATGTTACGTGGGAGGATGTTATGTGGGAGGATGTTACGTGGGAGGATGTTATGTGGGAGGATGTTGTGTGGGAGGATGTTATGTGGGAGGATGTTATGTGGGAGGATGTTATGTGGGAGGATGTTATGTGGGAGGATGTTATGTGGGAGGATGTTATGTGGGAGGATGTTATGTGGGAGGATGTTACGTGGGAGGATGTTATGTGGGAGGATGTTACGTGGGAGGATGTTATGTGGGAGGATGTTACGTGGGAGGATGTTATGTGGGAGGATGTTATGTGGGAGGATGTTACGTGGGAGGATGTTATGTGGGAGGATATGTGGGAGGATGTAATGTGGGAGGATGTTATGTGGGAGGATGTTATGTGCATGAGGAGGATGTTATGTGGGAGGATGTTATGTGGGAGGATGTTATGTGGGAGGATGTTGTGTGGGAGGATGTTACGTGGGAGGATGTTATGTGGGAGGATGTTATGTGGGAGGATGTTACGTGAGAGGATGTTATGTGGGAGGATGTTATGTGGGAGGATGTTATGTGGGAGGATGTTACGTGGGAGGATGTTATGTGGGAGGATGTAATGTGGGAGGATGTTATGGGGAGGATGTTATGTGGGAGGATGTTGTGTGGGAGGATGTTACGTGGGAGGATGTTATGTGGGAGGATGTTATGTGGGAGGATGTTACGTGAGAGGATGTTATGTGGGAGGATGTTATGTGGGAGGATGTTATGTGGGAGGATGTTACGTGGGAGGATGTTATGTGGGAGGATGTTATGTGGGAGGATGTTATGTGGGAGGATGTTATGTGGGAGGATGTTATGTGGGAGGATGTTATGTGGGAGGATGTTGTGTGGGAGGATGTTACGTGGGAGGATGTTATGTGGGAGGATGTTATGTGGGAGGATGTTACGTGAGAGGATGTTATGTGGGAGGATGTTATGTGGGAGGATGTTATGTGGGAGGATGTAATGTGGGAGGATGTTATGTGGGAGGATATGTGGGAGGATGTTATGTGGGAGGATGTTATGTGGGAGGAAGTTATATGATATGGCCTCTTCGATGGATGCAGGTATTCTGGAGTAAACAAACAATTACTAATATAATAAGTGTGTTTTGTGTTGAATGCTTCTGCTATGTCCAGCTCCTATTGCCGTTGTATATATATATATATATACACGTTTGTATTAATCAACTTGGCCCATGGAGAATATAATTATGCAATATTTGCTGCATTTTGTTCATAGTTATTTTGTATATAGACTTGCAGTTGGGATAATTCACACCCCCTCACCCACAGTTGGGATAAGTCAGACGCTCACACCCACAGTTGGGATAAGTCAAACGCCCACACCCACAGTTGGGATAAGTCAGACGCCCACACCCACAGTTGGGATAAGTCAGACGCCCACACCCACAGTTGGGATTAGTCAGACGCCCACACCCACAGTTGGGATAAGTCAGACGCCCACACCCACAGTTGGGATAAGTCAGACGCCCACACCTACAGTTGGGATAAGTCAGACGCCCACACCCACAGTTGGGATAAGTCAGACGCCCACACCCACAGTTGGGATAAGTCAGACGCCCACACCCACAGTTGGGATAGCAGACCACCTACACCCCCACCCTGGATAGGTTACTCCCTCCCCACCCCTCCCTACCCTCCAAGACATCACATCACATATTCTTATCTTATAAAGAATTTAATTTGTTCGATTTTCACCAGAATTCATGGGATTAAACCTGCTCTCATAACAATACTTTTAATACACACTCACATAAGAATGATGTGTATTCGTTAAATGAGAAATATGTGTATATTCACCACAAGAGAAACATGTATGTATACCACTTGAGAAACGTGTGTGTATATTTTGCCTGTGGAGAACATACACATTACAGAAAGTATAATTGGTCTGTGTATTCGCCGCGTTAACCTGCAGGTGGGGATCGCTCGCTCGAACGTTTGATATTGACAACCAATAAAGGTAAACTAAAAAATGGTCTACTTCCGTGTTCACATTGCCAATAGTATACAGTTTACGACAGTGTGTGTGGGTGACATGTTTTATAGAAGGTTATTGGAAATTCGGTATGACGCAGAAGCTCGGCTCGAAAACCGGTTTTGCTATTAATCTTCTGGTTGAGAGGGGGAGAGGGTGGTGTAAGGTTGGGGTTGAGTTGGCCGGGGTGGACGGGGGTTGACATCTGTGTGGGGGGGGGTGAGGGGGGGTGGAGGGTGCCTACATATAATTGTTGCCATTTTCCTTCCTTGAGGAAAAGAGGATAGAAGCGAGGTAGAGATGAAGGAAGGTTGGGAATATAGGATTAAAGTTACGGCAGCAAGCGGGCTGTCCGCCTTGCTGACACCAGGCAGGCTGTCCGCCTTGCTGACACCAGGCAGGCTGTCCGCCTTGCTGACACCAGGCGGGCTGTCCGCCTTGCTGACACAGGCGGGCTGTCCGTCTTGCTGACACCAGGCGGGCTGTCCACCTTGCTGACACCAGGCGGGCTGTCCGCCATGCTGACACCAGGCGGGCTGTCCGCCATGCTGACACCAGGCGGGCTGTCCGCCTTGCTGACACCAGGCAGGCTGTCCGCCTTGCTGACACCAGGCAGGCTGTCCGCCTTGCTGACACCAGGCGGGCTGTCCGCCTTGCTGACACCAGGCGGGCTGTCCGCCTTGCTGACACCAGGCGGGCTGTCCGCCTTGCTGACACCAGGCAGGCTGTCCGCCTTGCTGACACCAGGCAGGCTGTCCGCCTTGCTGACACCAGGCGGGCTGTCCGCCTTGCTGACACCAGGCGGGCTGTCCGTCTTGCTGACACCAGGCGGGCTGTCCACCTTGCTGACACCAGGCGGGCTGTCCGCCTTGCTGACACCAGGCGGGCTGTCCGTCTTGCTGACACCAGGCGGGCTGTCCACCTTGCTGACACCAGGTGGGCTGTCCGCCCTGCTGACACCAGGCGGGCTGTCCACCTTGCTGACACCAGGCGGACTGTCCACCTTGCTGACACCAGGCGGGCTGTCCACCTTGCTGACACCAGGCGGGCTGTCCGCCTTGCTGACACCAGGCTGGCTGTCCGCCCTGCTGACACCAGGCGGGCTGTCCACCTTGCTGACACCAGGCGGGCTGTCCACCTTGCTGACACCAGACGGACTGTCCGCCTTGCTGACACGAAATAATCAGATTATTAAAGTTGACCCATCAGCGCAGGTGATGTTTTATCAATATAAATATTGAAGGAGGTGATCTGTGGGAGGTTCAGGGAAACGGATCATTGACAGCTTCCTTGTGGCGCTGTTTTTTTTTTTCATTTGGCTGTCACTTGTCGTCTTACCTATTCTCGCGGGAATATATACACTGAAACGTGTACCCAGCTTCTCGGTGTATACTGAGAGGTGAGAGAGGTATATATATTTTATATCATTCTAATTTCGGACATAGAGAAGGTTGGGGTTGAAGGTTGGTAGTTGAAGGTTGGGGTTGAAGGTTGGTAGTTGAAGGTTGGGGGTTGAAGGTTGGGGTTGAAGGTTGGTACTTGAAGGTTGGGGCTGAAGGTTGGGGGTTGAAGGTTGGTAGTTGAATGTTGGGGTTGAAGGTTGGGGTTGAAGGTTGCGGTTGAAGGTTGGGGTTGAAGGTTGTGTTTGAAGGTTGGGGTTGAAGGTTGGGGTTGAAGGTTGTGTTTGAAGGTTGTGGTTGAAGGTTGGGGTTGAAGGTTGTTGGGGGTTGAAGGTTGGGGTTGAAGGGTTGGGGTTGAAGGTTGGGGTTGAAGGTTGTTGGGGGTTGAAGGTTGTGTTTGAAGGTTGTGGTTGAAGGTTGGGGTTGAAGTTTGTTGGGGGTTGAAGGTTGTTGGGGGTTGAAGGGTGGGGTTGAAGGTTGCGGTTGAAGGTTGGTAGTTGAAGATTGGGGCTGAAGGATGGGGGTTGAGGTTGGGGGTTGAAGGTTGGGGTTGAAGGTTGGGGTTGAAGATTGGGGTTGAAGGTTGTGTTTGAAGGTTGAAGTTGAAGGTTGTTGGGGGTTGAAGGTTGGGGTTGAAGGTTGGGGTTGAAGGTTGCGGTTGAAGGTTGGTAGTTGAAGATTGGGGTTGAAGGTTGGGGTTAAAGGTTGTTGGGGGTTGAAGGTTGTGGTTGAAGGTTGGAGTTGAAGGTTGTTGGGGGTTGAAGGTTGTGGTTGAAGGTTGTTGGGGGTTGAAGGTTGGGGTTGAAGGTTGGTAGTTGAAGGTTGTTGGGGGTTGAAGGTTGGGGTTGAAGGTTGTTGGGGGTTGAAGGTTGGGGTTGAAGGTTGTTGGGGGTTGAAGGTTGGTAGTTGAAGGTTGTTGGGGGTTGAAGGTTGGTAGTTGAAGGTTGTTGGGGGTTGAAGGTTGGGGTTGAAGGTTGTTGGGGGTTGAAGGTTGGTAGTTGAAGGTTGTTGGGGGTTGAAGGTTGGGGTTGAAGGTTGGTAGTTAAAGGTTGGGGTTGAAGGTTGGTAGTTGAAGGTTGGGGTTGAAGGTTGTTGGGGGTTGAAGGTTGGTAGTTAAAGGTTGGGGTTGAAGGTTAGGGTTGAAGGTTGGGGTTGAAGGTTGGGGTTGAAGGTTGGGGTTGAAGGTTGGGGTTGAAGGTTAGGGTTGAAGGTTGGGGTTGAAGTTTGGTGTTGAAGGTTGGGGTTGAAGGTTGGGGTTGAAGGTTAGGGTTGAAGGTTGGGGATGAAGGTTGGGGGTTGAAGGTTGGGGGTTGAAGGTTGGGGTTGAAGGTTGGGGTTAAAGGTTAGGGTTGAAGGTTGGGGTTGAAGGTTGGGGGTTGAAGGTTGGGGGTTGAAGGTTGGGGTTGAAGGTTGGGGTTAAATGTTGGGGGTTGAAGGTTGGGGTTGAAGGTTGGGGTTGATGGTTGGGGTTGAAGGTTAGGGTTGAAGGTTGGGATTGAAGGTTGGGGGTTGAAGGTTGGAGGTTGAAGGTTGGGGGTTGAAGGTTGGGGTTGAAGGTTGGGGTTGAAGGTTGGGGTTGAAGGTTGGGGGTTGAAGGTTGGGGGTAGAAGGTTGGGGTTGAAGGTTGGGGTTGATGGTTGGGGTGAAGGTTGGGGGTTGAAGGTTGAGGGTTGAAGGTTGGGGTTGAAGGTTGGGGTTGAAGGTTGGGGTTGAAGGTTGGGGGTTGAAGGTTGGGGGTTGAAGGTTGGGGTTGATGGTTGGGGTGAAGGTTGGGGTTGAAGGTTGGGGGTTGAAGGTTGAGGGTTGAAGGTTGGGGTTGAAGGTTGGGGTTGGAGGTTGGGGGCTGAAGGTGGGGGTTAAAGGTTGGGGTTGAAGGTTGGGCTTGAAAATTGGGGGTTGAAGGTTGGGGGTTGAAGTTTGGGGTTGAAGGTTGGGGTTGAAGGCTGAGGTTTAAGGTTGGGGTTGAAGGCTGAGGTTTAAGGTTGGGGTTGAAGTTTGGTAGTTGAAGGTTGGGGTTGAAGGTTGGGTTGAAGGTTGGGGTTGAAGGCTGAGGTTTAAGGTTGGGGTTGAAGGCTGAGGTTTAAAGTTGGGGTTGAAGTTTGGTAGTTGAAGGTTGGGGTTGAAGGTTGGGGTTGAAGGTTGGGGTTGAAGGTTGGGGTTGAAGGCTGAGGTTGAAGGTTGGGGTTGAAGGCTGAGGTTGAAGGTTGGGGTTGAAGTTTTGGTAGTTGAAGGTTGGGGTTGAAGTTTAGTAGTTGAAAGTTGGGGTTGAAGGTTAGGGTTGAAGGTTGGGGTTGAAGGTTGGGGGTTGAAGGTTGGGGGTTGAAGGTTGGGGGTTGAAGGATTTAGTTGAAGGTTGGGGTTGAAGGTTGGGGGTTGAAGGTTGGGGGTTGAAGGTTAGGGTTGAAGGTTGGGGTTGAAGGTTGGTAGTTGAAGGTTGGGGTTGAAGGTTGGTAGTTGAAGGTTGGGGTTGAAGGTTGGTAGTTGAAGGTTGTTGGGGATGAAGGTTGTGTGTGAAGGTTGGGGTTGAAGGTTGGGGGTTGAAGGTTGGGGTTGAAGGTTGGGGGTTGAAGGTTGGGGTTGAAGGTTTGGGTCAATGGGGTAACTGAGGTTAGGCCCCCAGCAGGCGATCCTGCCAGCTGTCCGACCCCATGACGGCGCAGGAGGCGCCACTGTCTCTACACATCATGTCAGACGCGGCACCCGTGTAATTCTAGCGGCGGCCCACGGCTTGTGTGGCTCCCTGGACACAAGCCTCGCGCCTCTGTGGCCACGCACATCACCAGGGTTCGAAACTGGAGAAGGGGGGAGTGGCGGCGGACGGGGAGTGAGGTGGTGGACGGGGGATAGAGAAAGCTGGGGATGGTAAGGTAGGGGTGGGTGTGGATGGGTAAGGGGAGGGGTGGTGGGGGAGGGTGAGGTGAAGGGGGGACTGGTCTGGGGTTGCTGGGGGGGGGGCAGCAGCAGCAGGGGGGACTTTCCGTCTCCTGCCAAAGATCACTCAAGCAAAAAGAAATAAAAAAGAGGGGAAGATATTTTTTTATATTTACAGGTAAATGGGTTCGACTTTTACACTTTCTTCTATTTATACATGTGCACGCACTCGCTCATACACACACACACGCGCACACACACACACGCGCACACACACACAGATGAGAAGAATCAAGACGGATGAAGATAGACAGAGAAAACAGGATGACCTGGATAAACTGGAGGAATGGTCTAGAAAATGGCTGCTGAAGTTCAACTCTGGAAAGTGTAAGGTGATGAAATTAGGCGAAGGGAGCAGGAGGCTGAACACAAGGTATCATCTGGGAGGGGAAATCCTGCAAGAATCAAATAGAGAGAAGGATCTGGGGGTTGATATCACACCGAACCTGTCCCCAGAGGCCCACATCAAAAGAATATCATCAGCGGCATATGCTAGACTGGCCAACATAAGAACTGCCTTCAGAAACTTGTGTAAGGAATCTTTCAGAACCCTGTATACCACTTATGTAAGACCAATCCTGGAGTATGCAGCTCCAGCCTGGAGTCCATACCTAGTTTAAACACAAAGACAAAGTTAGAGAAGATTCAGCGGTATGCCACCAGGCTCGTCCCGGAACTGAGAGGATTGAGCTTCGAGGAAAGGCTAAAGGAGCTGAACCTCACATCCCTGGAAAACAGAAGAGTAAGGGGAGACATTATAACCACCTACAAAATTCTCAGGGGAATTGACAGGGTGGACAAAGACAAACTCTTTAGCACGGGTGGGACACGAACAAGGGGACACAGGTGGAAACTTAGTACCCAGATGAGCCACAGAGACGTTAGAAAGAATTTTTTCAGTGTCAGAGTAGTTAATAAATGGAATGCACTAGGAAGTGATGTGGTGGAGGCTGACTCCATACACAGTTTCAAATGTAGATATGATAGAGCCCAGTAGGCTCAGGAATCTGTACACCAGTTGATTGACAGTTGAGAGGCGGGACCAAAGAGCCAAAGCTCAACCCCCGCAAGCACAATTAGGTGAGTACAATTAGGTGAGTACACACAACACACACACACACACACACACACACACACACACACACACACACACACACACACACACACACACACACATCATAGTATGCCGCGCCATCATGGAGCCCCCACCTGAAGAAACACATAAAGAAACTGGAGAAGGTTCAGAGGTTTGCGACGAGGCTTGTCCCAGAGTTACGAGGGATAGGATATGAAGAGCGTCTGCAGGAACTGAACCTTACGACACTAGAGAAAAGAAGGGAGAGAGGAGATATGATAGGGACATATAAAATACTCAGGGGAATTGACAAAGTGGAAATAGATGAAATGTTCACACGTAATAATAACAGAACGAGGGGACATGGGTGGAAACTGGAAACTCAGATGAGTCACAGAGATGTTAGGAAGTTTTCTTTTAGCGTGAGAGTAGTGGGAAAATGGAATGCACTTGGGGAACAAGTTGTGGAAGCAAATACTATTCATACTTTTAAAACTAGGTATGATAGGGAAATGGGACAGGAGTCATTGCTGTAAACAACCGATAGCTGGAAAGGCGGGATCCAAGAGTCAATGCTCGATCCTGCAGACACAACTAGGTGAGTACAACTAGGTAGGTACACACACACGAACACACACACACACACACACACAGAACCTTGTATACCATATATGTCAGACTAATCCTAGATTATGCAGCTCCAGCCTTGAGTCCATACCCAGTTAAATACAGTGCAAAGTTAGAGAAGATTCAGGAGTATGCACCCAGAGGAGTCCCAGAAAGGTATGAACTACGAGGAAAGGCTACGAGAGCTAAACCTCACGTCATTGGTAGACAGAAGAATGCGGGAAAACATGATCACTACCTACAAAATCCTCAGAGGAATTGACAGGGTGGAGAAAGACAAACTATTTAGCATGGGTGGAACACGAACAAGGAGACACAGGTGGAAATTGAGTACCTAAATGAGCCACAGAGACATTAGAAAGACCTTTTTCAGTGTCAGAGTAGTTAACCAATGGAATGCATTATACAGTGAAGTGGTGGAGGCTGACTCCATACACAGTTTCAAATGTATGAAAGTGCCCAGTATGCTCATCATGACACATATATGATACATACACTCCAGGATCACGCCTAGTCTCGCCTACACTTACCTCAATTCACTTTACATCACTTGATGTCTCCTAATCTCACTTATCCCAACCAATCACTCAAGCTCAACTTTAATCTCTCCAATCCCAGCCTAATCCCACTAACACCAAATCTCAAAAATCCTAGCCTAATCTCATTATTTAACAGCTAACATCAACATTTACTAAATTTCAACACTGTTAAATCTCTCTCTCGCTCTCTCTCTCTCTCTCTCTCTCTCTCTCTCTCTCTCTCTCTCTCTCTCTCTCTCTCTCTCTCTCTCTCTCTCTCTCTCTCTCTCTCTCTCTCTCTCTCTCTCTCCCTCTCTCCCTCCCTCTCTCCCAATTACAATGACGCTAATAACATTGTATTATTGTATTATGCCGATACGTTTTACCGTTGAACAAGGGGTCATTAAAGATGGCGTCAGTTAATCACCGAGCCCTAAATTAATTTAATACCTGTTATTGGTAATTAAACATACACTGATCGCGCTCATGTTCCCATGTTGAAAAATAAAAAAAACTGGATCAGATGAGAAAGCTCAGTTCTCATTGAAAAATAGCCAAGCTTGGGATGGATTTAATAAGGAAGCTTCTAAACACTCACCTATCCATCTATTAATCCCTTCAACTCCCAACAATCCCTCTAACCACCTAATCAACCCTCTAACCACCCAATCAACCCTCCAACCACTATCGCTAAATCATCAATCAAGCAGCTGTTATTAGGAATTGGAATCCTGTTTTCTGCCTTTTAAAGTGGAGGATGTTATTGACGTTACGCGGTTTACAACCCAGTGGTGGTGGTGGTGGTGGTGGTGGTGGTGGTGGTAGGTGGTGGTGGTGTTGGTGGTGGTAGGTGGTGGTGGTGGTAGGTGGTGGTAGGTGGTGGTGGTGGGTGGTGGTAGGTGGTGGTGGTGGTGCTGGTGGAGGTGGTGGTGGTGGTAGGTGGTGGTGGAGGCTGACTCCATACACAGTTTCAAGTGTAGATATGACAGAGCCCGATAGGCTCAGGAATCTGTACACCTGTTGATTGACGGCTGAGAGGCGGGACCAAAGAGTCAGAGGCTCAACCCCCGCAACACAACTAGGTGAGTACAACTAGGTGAGTACACACAACCACACACACACACACACACACACACACACAACACACACACACACACACACACACACACACACACACACACACACACACACACACACTTGTCAACCACTCTGACACTTAGTGTCAGAGTGGTGACAAATGGAATGCACTAGGAAGTGATGTGGTGGAGGCTGACTCCATACACAGTTTCAAGTGTAGATATGACAGAGCCCGATAGGCTCATGAATCTGTACACCTGTTGATTGACGGTTGAGAGGCGGGACCAAAGAGCCAGAGCTCAACCCCCGCAAACACAACTAGGTGAGTACAACTAGGTGAGTACACACACACACACACACACACACACACACACACTGGGTTCCGTGGCGCAGTGGGTTAAGTCGTCGGCCCACAATCGAGAATCGCGATTTCAATCCCCTCGGCACGATAGAAGTGTTTGGGAAACGTTTCCTTTTACCTGATGCCGCTGTTCACCTAGCATAAATATGTATCTAAAATTACAGACAGCTGTTGTTGGTTGCATCGCGCACGCACGCACACACGTATGTACTCACCTAGTTGTGCTTGCGGAGGTTGCGCTCTGGCTCTTTGGTCCCGCCTCTCAACTGTCAATCAACAGGTGTACAGGTTCCTGAGTCTACTGGGCTCTATCATATCTTCACTTGAAACTGTGAATGGAGTCAGCCTCCACCACATCACTTCCTAATGCATTCCATTTGTCAACTACTCTAACACTAAACACATTATTTCTAAGGTCTGTATGGCTCATTTGGGCACTCAATTTCCACCTGCATCCCCTAGTACGTGTGCCCCTTTTGTTAAA